TTAAAATTACATGACAAATAATATGATTACAATAAAAACGTGACATTAAATCGTAAAAGACGCGAATACCAAAGAAAATCTCATAAAAATCGGATACAGCAGTACATTCTTCTTTGGCCTACTGCGATACTTTACCTGATATAAAGTGGAATTGCCATAGCTAATAAAGAAAAAATCAGTTGATAACGACAACTAATAACAATTTTTATTTTTTTTATTGCCTAGAGTGGACGAGCTCACAGCCCACGTGGTGTTAAGTGGTTACTGGAGCCCATCGACATCGACAACGTAAATGCGCCACCCACCTTGAGATATGAGTTCTAAGGTCTCAATATAGTTACAACGGCTGCCCCACCCTTCAAACCGAAACGCATTACTGCTTCACGGCAGAAACAGGCGGGGTGGTGGTACCCACCCGTGCGGACTCTCAAGAGGTCCTACCACCAGTAAAACAAATGTATAATAATACTAGCGGCTCGCTCCGGCTCCACTCGGGTATTTGACAAAAATTTCAAAGATATTTGACGTTGTTTTATTTTTCTTTTGAACACTTATTGCTACATAACTGTAATAGTCAGACATATGCTGTCGCGACACTTTTTGTAAAAATGAATGTGTTCTACAAAATCTTATTAAATTATTTTATTCTATCATCGATAGTTTTCGCAGGGCACGCGATGTAAAGAATATTTTAGGTAATTTTTTTTGGAGTTGGAATTACATTATTGGAGTTTTAGTAATGTTAACGTATTTAATTATTTTTTTCAAAAAAAATTATAGCCTGTGTCACTCGGGAATAGTGTAGCTTCCAAATAGTTAAAGAATTTTTCAAATCGGTTCAGTAGTTTCGGAGCCTATTCAATACAAACAAACAAACAAACAAATATTTCCTCTTTATAATATTAATATAGATAATATAGATATATAATAATAATAAAATAATATAATAAATAATAATAATATATGTATAATAATAGGTATATAATAAACAACAAGATGTATAACAGATAAAAAATAAGGCTTTACATTGACAGAGGCTGCATTGAACCTCTTCATCAGTACGAACGCTCAAGAGCTCCTGAAGGAAATGAAGCCGGAACTGAAGAGGGACTTGGCGGATAAGATGTCGCGTTATTTAGACCACATCCTCCAGCACATACCTTACGACGAGCTGGTCGTTGATTAAGCAACCTCCCCATCTTATATATGGGGTGTTTAAAATTTGCACAGTTTTTTGTCATTATTTCTCTAACGATCGCTACTTTTAAGAATTTGCGAACAAATTTGTAATGTGGGTGACGGATATTATTTAAATACATGATTTCAACGAGAAAATAATAAAAATCAGTTTTATCATTTAGAATCGTTTGAAAATGTATAAGTATCGGTGTTACTAGCTTTTTTTTTTCTTCAATACATTTAAAACTAATTATAGAAATTTATTTCATTCTTAAAATGTTCAACCTTTCCATTTAAGTACGTCATTAAATTAAAAATGCTATTTATAAATTATTTATGAAGCTCTAAGTATTAGTACAAGGAAGTATTTTGTCTCATCCTCAAAGTAAGTAGTCATAATTAGAAATAGGTTTTTATTTTATTTATTTATAATGTACTAATAATTAATAAAATAAACATGAATAAAACAATGAATTTCATTAAAGCTATTTACTATAATATATCCCTTAAATAATTATATTATGTACGTATATTTGGGCCTTATTATAAAGCTCAAGGTCACCCATAGAGCAATGGAGAGGGCTATAGGTGGAGTTTCCCTGCGAGATCAAATCTGGAATGAATCTCTATTCGCAGGAAAATCATGGTAACCGAAATAATAGCGCAAAGGATTGTACAATCTCTGGTATTGAAAAACTAGTCTGGGTCATCCAATACCGTCTTTACCATAAGGGCACACGGGGCCCGTGCCCAGGGCCCCCATTCTCAGGGGGCCCCGAAAGACCGACAATTTCTCTCACACGTTTATTCTCAAAACATTTTTGTCGGGCACATTACACTTTTTTCACAAATCAGTAATCAGAAGGTATTTACAAGGCATATACTATGCCTATAATGGAAGATTTTGCTCAACAGAAATCCCGAAAGAAACCGTTATCGAAATCGTAACCAAAAAACAAGCAACATTCTAATATCATTAATGACATATTATATCATACTGTATTTGATTACCTACATAAATGGTCATACTCAGTAAAAAATTGTTATTATAATTCGCTTTTTTTACTTTCCAAAAGGGCCTCAAATTCTTGTGTGCCCAAGGGCCCTATCCTAGTTTAAGACGTCCCTGCGTACATTTTTAAAATTGGTATAGAATAAGTCTTTTGAGTGCCGTTTTAGAAAAACAGGATGAAGCCAGTGTCTTTGCTTTGCGTTTTTTACGAGATAAAGTGCTTATGGCTCGACGAAAAAATCACAAATGGCCTTTGATTGGCTGCTATAACTGGCTACTCAAATATTTCGGCTACCGCAGCCTGACCGCAGAGTCAAACTGCCTAGCCGATTTGGACTTTATCTCGTAAAAAACGCAAAACAAAGAAAAGACAATTCATCCTCTTTTTCTAGAAAGGCACTCAAAAGGCTTATTCTTTAACTATTTTACAGATATTCATACACACCTACCCATTCGTCGTGGTCTAAGGATAAGACGTCCGGTGCATTCGTGTTGAGCGATGCACCGGTGTTCGAATCTCAGGCGGGTACCAATTTTTATAATGAAACTAGCTGACCCGGCAGACTTCGTAGTGCCTCAATCGATAAATAAAAGACCTAAACTTTTGTTTAAGATAAACTTAAAACAAACAAAAGGAATCCCTCCGATGGGGGACACATCAAAGGAAAAACAAAATTGTTATTTTTATTTAATTCCGAATATTTTTATATTTTTCTAACCTTTTAAACCTTCTCTGGACTTCAACAAATAATTCAAGACCAAAATTAGCCAAATCGGTCAAGCCGTTTTCATGTTATGTCGTGACAACGGAAAACGGGTTTCATTTTTATATATATAGATATACTTAACAAATGTTCACGATTGACTTCCACGGTGAAAGAAAATAACATCGTGTAATAAAAAACAAACCCGCAAAAATATAATTTGCCTAATTATGGGTGGTACCTCTTGTGAGTCCGCACGGGTAGGTAACACCGCCCTGCCTATTTCTGCCGTGAAGCAGTAATGCGTTTCGGTTTGAAGGGTGGAGCAGCCGTTGTAACTACTAGCCGTTGTGACATACGCACGTAACAAATATTTATGAATGACTGATAAAGGAACAGCATCGTGGTATAAAGATCAAACATAAAAAAATAATAATGTGCGTAATTCCTGGTGGTAGAACCTCTTGTGAGCCGGCGCGGTTAGGTACCACAATCCTGCCTATTTCGACCGTCAAGCAGTAATGTGTTTCAGTTTGAAGGATGGGGCATGCGTTGTACTGAAAAAACTAAGACCTTAGAACTCATGTCTCGAGGTGGGTGGCGTGATTTACGTTGTTAATGTCCATGGGCTCCGATAAGCACATAATACAAGGTGAGCCGTGAGTTCGTCTATCAATTTAAAACTAGTGGTCCCGCAGTAGTCGAAATTCGACTATAATTAATTGAAATTGTAAGTTTGTACACTATTATGATTCTATTTTCAAATACTATTTATACTTCTATAATCACAAATTTCGCCAAGACTACACTATAGAAAAATATTAATAAAGACAAACAAGATTTAATCTATTCTCAATTTGACCACAGACGTCAAGAACAAAAGTTTGACCATAAATAAATAGTACACATGCGATATATTAAGTGTATAATCTATGCACATGCGTGTGTGCGTCAAATACATGGTAGTATGTGTAATGTTTTTTTTTTTAATTTATTTAATGTATTTTTGTGACATAATTTAAAAAAATATTAACATTCTGCACTCCTTCTCTATATTCTCTTTAAGTGTGGGTAATTTCATACTTCTCCCTCCGCGCAATTTTCGTAAAAAGGGATACAAAGTTTTTCCTTCACGTATTAAGATATAGATATAAATAAAGAAAATCCACTAAAATCTTTGGTCACACAACACAATAGTCATAGTTTTGAAAGGAATGTCAAAATCATTCTCAATACGCGTACGTTAGCGTTGAAATACTTCAACGCTAACATTGCTTAACTTCATTGCGAAATATGTATTGATGTTCAAGCAATTTGTAGCATCATTAACTTTTTAAGGCGAAAGTAATGTATTTTAACGTTCTTATAACAACGAGCATTGATTAAGCAACAGCCGCATAAAATATAATTACGTTATTGATTGTGAATTTAACAAAAATTCTTTGTATTCATACTACGTAAATATTTTTTTAATTATCAATGAGTTATAGATTTCGAAACTCACACAAATTTAAAGAAATAAACGACGAATATTTAAAATTTCACGCAAGATCTACATGCAGTCTATATTTATCTATTTCTATTATATTTATTCTATCAGCAAACAGACGTCCACTGCTGGACAGAGGCCTCCCCCAAGCCTCGCCACAAAGATCGGTCCTGTATATATTTATATAAATTTATCTTTAGTTTAATTTATATCGGTTTATCTACATATGGAATATTATATTGTATTATATTATATGGGATATTCTACTGGGATAAGCCTCTACACAATGCCCCCTTTTCTGGGTCTTTTACCGCCCCCCTTTAAGCCTGCAGGGCCCACAAGGGGGCGTTATCACCCACTTTGGGAAAGGCTGTTAAAGCTGATGCTTTCGTTCGTTGGTCCATTTACACCATTTGACCTATCGTACCCCGGATACAGTATTGTTGTAGATCTTTCGAATAATTTATGTAATAAAAAATATGAAATAGACATGTAGAAATATTTTGTAATTTTCGCATATCAACTACGTGATGTACAGAAGCCATTAACGCGTGAGAAACATCTCATGTCGGAAAAAAAAAACTTTGCACTTTTATCATCAAATGAACAATTTTGTGTTGTCCAGCTGGAGCACTGGGTATGAATACTCCAGAGGGTCCCACAAACAAGTTCGAAAAGGAATGGTAGCGAGCGAGGTGCGGACGTATTCTCGTGTGTATGCTTCGGTGGTTGCGGGTGAACTGTCGGCGCCAGTAAAGGCGCACGCGCGGCTTGCCAAAAGGAAAGCCCCCTCGGTCGCTACTCTTTGTATCGCGCCGGGAGCCGACAACGAGAGTCCCTCATTGGTCGCGGCGCGCGATCAGACGCGGCTGCCGACGCGGCAGGCGTTAGGGTTGCTATATACTCCCCCTCTAGTCCTGGAGAACGCCCTCGCTCCTGGACTAGGACATCAACAGCCTTAGCTGGGCGTCCACGTTTCCTCTTAGGAATCACAGGTTTGGGTAAGGAGTCTTTGTTACCGTGATAACAGGTAAGGTCTTGGGTATGGTATTTCCCTAATATAATATCAGGCGGTTTCTTCGAAGGATTTAAACAGTATGGGAGTACTGATATTGGTGTATGCTCACCTGTTTCGTTGCGATGCTCTGCAAACGGAGTTGGACCTCCCCCTGCTCTGAAGATGTATGCGTGCCTGTCCAGTACGTCAGCGAGCGCTTGCCGCTCAGCTGGCGTAAGGTGAGTACCTTCGTCATCTCTAAGGATGTCTGTAGCGGCGCAGGAAACTTTGCGCGACTTAGGTTCGAAACACAGATTATACTTTACCATCGCATCATCACTGAAGAACCAAACCTCTTCTTTGAAGTCGATTACTACTCCAGCTGCG